AACACCTACAAAAAGACCCCTCTAGAAGTATGTATAAGTGGAGGAGCTAGGTGGAAGTTAAGAGGGGTTATAGATCTCTCAACTTTAAAATATAGATGAAGGTACATGTAGAATCCGTAACAAATTTAGAAAATAAAATAATCGGTAAGGCCTTGACCACCTTTTAATTAACAAAGTTTAAATTAGTCCCTCCTCATCTTGAATCCTGATTCTGCCACTGGTATGTATATCCTTATGTAATTTACTACACTGAGGTTATGTTGGGTGGCCCTGACATTTTCTCTTCCATTATATCTTACTTTCATTTCTACTATGGAGTGAGAGATAGGGATTACGGACTCTATCCCTAAGGGGTCGTTTGGGTGACTTAACTGATAATGTGGTATTTGCCAAGTCAAATAACTATTTTTTTTCTACATTTGATATTTGTGTGTTATTTGGAGAAATTGAAAGTTAAATTATTTTATTTGGATGAATCAAAACAATTCGTTATTTTATATGTTGTAAAATACCATAATGCCCTCAACTTAATACCCTCCGATGCTTTCAATAGCATTTTCAAGCTTCTAAGTTATGCTTGGTAGATTATGGCAGTTGGGTAGTTCTGGCTAGGAATTAACCCCAACTAGACGGGTTCTTCCCAATTTTGCATATTTGGTCTTAGTTTGGTAGTGTGGACGGATGCATTGCATTGCAAGCTCCAAATGGGACCAAAAAGCTATAGCTGGTCCTGGTGGCTGTTTCTTTTGGCGACTTTTGTTTGTTTTGTTTGGACTGATAGATTATGTTTGTGCTTGTTTAAAAGCCTTGAGCCTGATGAATGTCTGGGCTTTTATGAGTTTGTGGTTGAAGGTCTACCAAATATTTAATACTAGATCAAACATTTTTCATTAATATGTGTCTTACCTAACCATGAACCAATCAATGCCCTGAGATCTTATTTACTATAAACGGGCTTTTAGATTTCCAACATAGAAGAGTTCTCCATCGGGGGATAAGATCTAGCTCATAAATGCCATCATCTACTTATTTAGGATAGGTGTGTTAAATGTTGCATTTTCCAATCTCCACTTGCAACGAATGCAATGGGGAAATTTTGAGTTAATACTTTGCTCCCTAAAGACTTACGGATACGGTACTACTTACCACTATTACCAATTTTAGTATTTGTTTTTTCCTCTTAACGTAGTTGAAAAGTTACAGTTTTTTATCGGGTAAATTGCATGGTTGGTCACTGAGATTACAAAAAATGTTCAAGTTTGGTCACTAGAAATATTTAAATCCATTGGTGGTACTTCAGTTTACTGAAACCGTTCACGTTTGGTCACTCTCCGTCCAACTCCGTTAACTTTTGCTTACGTGGCAGTCAACTCTAAAAATTGACCGTTAAATGTGTTACGTGGCAAAAAAAAATAATTAAATAAATAAAATTTAATTTCCTAAAATTTCTGCCTCATTTCTAACTATTAAAAAAATAAAAATTAAAATTAAGAACCAATGCCGAGGCCGAGGCCAACTCCGCAAAACCAGAACCACCACATCATTCTTCTTCCTATGGCGGTGGGCCTCTCCTACGTCTCTAATTCCCCTTTCTTCATCCTCATTCATGATGCTCGTAGACGTTGGTGTTTCAACAATTTTAGATCCCTGAAAAAGGAAAGAAAGAAAAGGAAAAGATAGTTTATAGTATCTGTAAATTATGGCGGAAGAAGCTGTAGTTGAATCGGTGCCGGAAACCCTAGAAACTCCACATCCATCGGCAGCTTCTCCGACCGATTCGCCAACCGCAGTCGTTTCCAATCCCTCGCTCTCGCGGAATGCATCATTCAGTAAACTCAAGGCGCGAGCTCCCGAGTTCGTTCCTATCAGTGGCGGATCCAGGGGGTGGCCACCCCGGGCCCCGGCCCAGCCCTTCTCTAGATCCATAGTTAGTATAGGTCTTAGGAATTTTTCGATTTTAAATATTCGGGTCGTTGTTATTATAAAATAAGATTGGGTATAATTAGAAAAATAATTCAGATGAACATATGCAGAATCAATACTCTAAATTTAGCTTATAAATTATAACCCCAAAGGTTATTCGTCTAAAAAAACAATGAAACCTAAAAATTCAAAAAGTTCAAAACGTAAAAGACTAAAACATATATGAGGTTTGTTACCTTGGAAAATTTACTAGAGCAGCTGGTGGATATGAGATGGAAACACAATGCAAATTGATTAGTAGATTGATTTGTCTAGTGTTGATGCTGCTCGTTTCAACAACTAATACGAATAGAACCTTTTCAACAACGAAACATGTGAAAATTGATTTGCGCAACAAAATGAGCGATAGATTTCTAGTCGATTGCTCAAGTATTTTATTTGAAACAGTGTATACTATTGGTATGGATGTGGACTCCATTATTAATGCATTCGGTAAATTAAAATACCATCGTGTGCAATTTACATTGTAAAAAAATTATAATCATTATATTTTTTTACTATTCTAATAAAATGCGGTCCAGTGCACTTCTGTGTTCTGGATCCGCCGCTGGTTCCTATTAAGCAACCGCCTCCTCCTGCTACTCCGTCTCCTCAGCTTCCGTCGAGGCTGGCTGTGATGTCGCCGCCTCCTGGTGTGGCTATGATGCATATGTACTCGCCTGCACCGTCCCACCACTGCCTACCGCTGGGCCGGCTTCACCTTACCACGTCCCGATTCACAGTCTGGTGCCGGTTGCTCACGTGATTCCGGTCCAGAATCATCATCCGCATCACAATCAGCACCATCACCAGTGCCACCATCAACAGCTGCCGCCGCAGCAGCACGTTGCGGTGCGGAATTTGATCGGGCCTAGTATAGTTACTGTGAGATGAGTGTATCAGTTAGTGACTCGGAGGTTTTGACTAAAGAAGTTGCATTGATGGCGGAAATATTGCTTCTCTTTAGTGCTTCGGTTATTCTGATGGCTAATGGATGTAAGATTTCATGTTATTTTTATTTTTTTAATAGTTAGAAATGAGTTGAAAATTTTAAAAATTTAAAATTTATTTAATTATTTTTTAATTGTCACGTCACACATTTAATGGTTAATTTTTAGAGTTGACTGCCACGTAAGCAAAAGTTAACGGAGTTGGACGGAGAGTGACCAAACGTGAACGATTTCAGTAAACTGAAGTACCACAAATGAATTTAAATATTTTGAGTGACCAAACTTAAACGTTTGTTTAATCATAGTGACCAACCATGCAATTTACCCGTTTTTATCCATTTGAAAATTTACAGCGAGGAAGAAGAAAAAGGCAAGGTGAGAGAATATCCTAGTCAGAGCTGACTCACAGGGCCGCGGCCCAACATGACCAAAAAAGAAAGAGCCCAAAAGGACAAAAAGGAGTTAACTCCATACATATCCACTAACTTGGAGGCCATTAATTAATAAATCAATCGCCAAATTTTATATTCTAACAAACTTTGTTTTGACATAAAAATATATACTTTCAAAAATTATATTTTGATAACTAACCATTCAAGAATGACACTTGTTTCACCTAAACTTTTCAAAATTGTCACATCAAAATTGTCACAATGGTCGAACAATTGGAGGTCACTTAGAGCCGTTTGCTTTGTGGATTTGGGTAAGGAATTTTTTGGTAGAACTTGAATTTTGAAAAACCATGGATATATGAGGATTCATTATAGACGGAAAACACCATTGGTTGTTTCATATATTTAATCATGGATTTTTTTAATTAAATTTGTATGTTTGAAGTTAAATGAACTTTTTTGCCATGATCAATTGTTAGTTAACCATTGTTAGTTAAATTTGTATGTTTGTATATCTAAATTCATGATCAATTCCCACCTAAAGAGTTCATATTTGTAGGCCCCACAAATTTAGACCCTCAAGGTATATGAGACCTGAGACTTGTTACCTCTAAAGTCTAAATACGTGAAACAAACAAAAGATTTTTTACAAAATCCATGATAGAATTCATCACCAACTCCATCACTTAATCTATCAAGCAATCAAATTTACGAACTCAATCCACCAATTCATCTATCTGATTCTAGATTTGGGTAAATAAAATGTATTAGCCAAACCTATTATGAAGCGGGGAATCATAGCCACAACTATGAAAGTTCAAATTATTAGCCATAACTTTTGTTGCGGATCAAGATATGGCTAACTGTCCATTACTTTTATTGAATTTTTAACGGAGAAGGTCACGTCGTGACTCGTCAGCCACGGCCCACGGCAACAGCCACGTCGGACTGCTTTTAATTTATAACTTTAAAACATAAAAGTTTAGTCAGTATTACTAACGAAATTGTTAACAAATAGTTAACGTTTGGCTAATAATTTGAATTTTCATAGTTATGACTATAATTTTCCACTTGATAATAATTGTGGCTAATATATTGTGGGGTAGTTTGGATGGGTTAATTGTCAATGTGGTATTTGTAGAGTCAAATAACTCATTTATTATTCATGTGATATTTCAGTGTTATTTCAATGGTAATTGAAATAAAGTATCTCGTTTGGTTGAACCATGCAAATGTGGTATTCGACATGTGGTATTTGGTAAAAGCAGAGTGATAAAACGAGTTATTTCGAAATAACACATGAGTATAAGTTATTTTAAATAACTCGTTTTGAGTTATTTGTAAATAACTCACTGTCCAAATAACTAATTTCAGTAAAACGTTACAAAACGAGTTATTTGAACCCAAAGAACTCATACAAATACTCCATACAAACGACCTCTGTATTTACTTTCAATGAGTTATTTGAACCCAAATAACTCATACAAATACTCCATACAAACGACCCCTGTATTTACTCTCCGATTTCAATAAAATAAACTAAATTAGATTGAGATTTTTGGTTGATGAATTGGATTGAAGTACTGAAATCAAATTATCATATCTGAAAATTATAGTTATGTTATCAGTTATGTTGATAATTAAAAATGACAGCTGTAAATTCGTTAGATGCGATCTATGGACTATTTATCGCCAACGTTCAGTGACCATTTTATGTAATTGACCCATACAATACAAGGAAGAGAGGAAGAAAGAAGGCGGGCGCGACAGAAACAGAAAAGAGTCCCCACTGCCCACTCGCCACTACCGACACTCTCATTCATCCCCTCCCCAATCTCCCTCTTCTCTTCTCACGAGAAATCTAACGGCTCGGATCTCATCACCACCGCCCCCAAATCTTAATCCCCACCGTCCATTTTCCCCCAAAAACAAAACTTCTGTCCCCTCCCTTTCTGTACAGTCATCTCCTCCTCTCCCCAAATTCCCCCAATTCTCATCCAGATCTATCCATTCCCAATCTCCCACGGGCGGCGATGGTGGAACCGCAGTCATGGGCGACCCGGCGGATGAGCAATCCGAGGCTACTCGACCATACCTCCACCACCGCCACCACCAACTCCTCCGCCGCCGACGACCAGGCCCTCGACATCCCCGCCACTCCCCCGGGGGACGTCAGGGGAAACAATGCCTACTACTACTCCACCTCCGCCGTCGGATCTTACTTCTCCCCCACCTTCGTCACCGCCTCAATCATCGCCTCCTGGTACTTCTCCAACATTGGCGTCCTTTTGCTGAACAAGTACCTCCTCAGCTTCTATGGCTACCGATACCCGATCTTCCTCACGATGCTCCACATGATCTCCTGCTCCGCCTACAGCTACGCCGCAATCCGCTTCCTCGAGATCGTCCCCTTCCAGCAGATCCTCTCCCGCCGCCAGTTCTTCAAGATCTTCGCACTCTCGGCCATCTTCTGCTTCTCCGTCGTCTGCGGCAACACCTCGCTCCGCTACCTTCCGGTCTCGTTCAATCAGGCCATCGGGGCCACCACGCCCTTCTTCACCGCCATCTTCTCGTTTTTGATCATCTGCAAGAAGGAATCGGCGGAGGTCTATTTCGCGCTGATGCCGGTGGTGTTCGGGATCGTTTTGGCGAGCAATAGCGAGCCGTTGTTTCATTTGTTCGGGTTTTTGGTCTGCGTCGGGTCGACCGCGGGTCGGGCGTTGAAATCGGTGGTGCAGGGGATTCTGTTGACATCTGAGGCCGAGAAGCTTCACTCCATGAATCTGCTGCTGTACATGGCGCCGATGGCTGCGGTGATTCTGCTGCCGTTCACGCTGTACATCGAAGGGAATGTGGCGGCGGCGACGGTGGAGCTCGCGAAGCGGGATCCGTTCATCGTTTTCCTGCTGGTTGGGAACGCGACGGTGGCGTATTTGGTGAACCTAACGAATTTTATGGTGACGAAGCACACGAGCGCGCTGACGCTGCAGGTGCTGGGGAACGCGAAGGCGGCGGTGGCGGCGGTGGTTTCGGTGCTGATATTCAGGAATCCGGTGACGGTGATGGGGATGGCGGGATTCGCCGTGACGATTATGGGCGTGGTGCTGTACAGCGAGGCCAGGAAGAGATCTAAGGTCACCGCACATTGATTGGCCGAAGGAGGAAGAAGGGGAAAAAAAAAAGAGATTAATTTTCTTTTTTTGGGCAATAATTTGAATTTCGGTGGGGGAGAAGAAAAAGCGAAAAAGAAGGGGGGAAATTCGGAGAGACATTTAAAGGAGAAGATTCATTTTGATTGCCATTTGCCAGCCCACAGACACCCAACTGGTACTCACTTACTGCGGCTCTTTCCCTTTTTCATTTCTTTTACATAGTAATTTTGATTCTGTTTTTATTATTTACATTTTTAAAATTTATGATAATTTAGATGTGGTGGTTGGATGCCAAGATAAAATTATCAGCAATTGTATAGGACAAAGAAATTATGTTTTCTATTCCTATTTTATGTGAAATTCTTTTTGATTTCGATCTGGAAATTGTGAATTGAGAACAAAAGTGGGAAATTGATACTTTCGGTGATGTTTTCTCTTTTGTTTGAGTTGGGATTTGTCATGTGCTCTGATAATAATTGAGCTGTTGGAGCTGTCTGTTGACGTAGTTGATTAGCCTATCTGGTTCATTTCCAGATCCGGTTAGGGTTATGATAATGATTTCCTTGTTCCGTTTCTATATGTTTGTTAATTAGTTGGCGTGATCACAATAACACTGATTAGGGCGAATCTCATCGTGATTTAGCAATTTTTTTGACGGATCTCTTCGTGAATGTAGTACTTCTAGTTGAGTTCTTTTCTCATTGTATAGATTTGAAGGCATTTTTGCGGACTGTCAACTGGCCTGCCCATAAAGTAGCACGCAATGCAGAACCCTTTTGCTGTCTCATTTAGAGTTGCCCGCTTTTGATTTTATAGGTTGATTTTCAAGTGAGATGAGGGATTATGTATAGTAGTTCTTTCTAACTATTGTCTTGTCATTCCTCGTGAGAAAAAAATTATTCTCAGCTTGAATGGATGTCTACCCTCGTGAGCTTATTGACCTGACCTTGAATGGATAACAAGAATAAAAAGCATTCATTAAGTTTTTCTATGGTTGATTCAGTAAGCACACAAGTTATAGTACTTTTGTGCAATTGGGTTGTGAAGAGATGTAGCATTGAATATAGACGAAGCTGGAGTGGGAATGAAGCAAAGTGATGAAAGTTAAGTGAGGGATAAAGTTGTGGGAGTTGGTGGTAAATTTCATCTCCGTTAAGTCACTATCCAATCTGCCGAAAACGCTCCAATTTGTCGGTCCTCAACTCATTTGTTATATGTGCCTAATCAGGTCGGGAAGGTACGTGAATGTAAAGGATCAATCATGAGGGTTTAACAAACTTAATGACTGTTTTAATTTAAGCATTCGTTGCGTATACTCAAATCTGTCTCTTAATTAGGAAAGACAATGGGTCAAGTTTTGCCAAACCTAAATTCAAATCTATGGGTTTATTCGTCAAAAAACCCGGGGTAAAATTCATTGGGTTGGAAAACTCAAACCCAACCCAACCGGGACAGGTTACGGTGATTACTACTTACTAAGGGTAAATTGGGTATGAAAATAAATTGTATTAATTAATTTTTTTAATAAATTACATTTTAGGTAGTTACAAGAGGGATGGGATTAGGTGCTAAATAGCAAAAAACGCTACTAAAAATAACGAAATCACTACGGATTATTATAAAATCAATACAACATCTAAGCTAAATCACTATTAATTCAAACTAGTAGTAGTTTTTCCCTTGGTTAGGACGGTGCTAACTATTGTACAATTAGCACCGTAGTCGTTCCCGTTACAAGAATCTATTAATTACAATTCTCTCTCTTTCTCTCACTTCCATAATCTTCAGCCAGATCCCGTTTCCTTATTTTTCTCAATCTTTCTGCAAAAGAAAAAAAGACATGAAATCACTACCAATCCATTAGACAATCGCTACCACTTTGAAAAATATCAATACCATTGCAGAAATAAATCTATATCATTACACGAAAACTACCAATATAAACAATCTACCAATATAAATCTATACCATTTCACAAGAAATCAATACCATTGCAGATTGAATCCATACGAATACATGCAAATTAATACCATTACATGATAATCAATATCAATGCAAAAAAACACTACCACTACGAAAAAATCACTACCAATGCGAAAAATTCAGATCTAGGGTTTTTATTTCATCCCACCTTATTAGCACACGATTACAGCCTGCTCGTCCTCAGTTCTAAGCTCCGGGTGAGGAATTTCTTCCGCCGCGGGCAAAAAATAAGGATGAATCGAGGACAAAGTTGGAATCTCCGACTCCACTCTTCGGCCGCCCTCGCCGCCGCGACTCCCGTCTCAGTTGTGCCTCCTACGCTAACTTGTTTCTCTACGTCTCCTTCTCCCTTCAAGCGCCTTGTTCACTCGAGATTTCGCGCTTGGATTTGCCGGCAACGAGCTCGTCCGATACCTCTCCCTGATAATTTGTACCGGAAATTGCTCCCGTTCTCAGCAGATTTCAGCGGTATATCTTCCGAGCGACTGTTTCAGCAAAATGATCCACTCCATTGTTGCATAGACGGGCGAATTGGCATGACCTTCAACAGGGACGCCGGCGGGGTGTGGGGGTGGGGTTGGAGTGGTCGGAGGGAGGGAGGGACGCCGGTTGTGGGGTGGGAGAAGGGAGAGACGGCTGCTAGGTAGATAGGTAGTATTAGGGTTTGAGTATAATATATAGAGTAATTAGGTGTGGTATGTTTTTCATTTCCTAAATTACCCTTAGCTAATCTTAATCGTTAATTTAAAAATATAATAAAATAAAGATAATGAATGGTATAGATGTTGGTAGCCACCGTGATTACTCAAAATTGAGTAACCACCCTAACCTATTCCCAACCCAACCCTCTGGGTATCGGCGGGTTTTTGTGGTAAAAAGTTTACAATAACAAATTCCTATCAAAATAAAATTCAAACATCAATTTTATCACACAAATTATCCATACATAAAAGACCACTCTAGAAAATTCAAACAAATCACAATTACGCTAAATAAAAGCACACGAAATAAGTGTAGTGAGAGTTAGATTGAGAAAAATTAGAATTAAGGTAGGGTTTGGGGAGAGTAGGGCGACGAAATAAGTGTGGACGTGTATCCAGGTACCCCTAAACTCTAACCCAACCTAACCCGGTGAATAGTGTACGACTTTAACCCGAACCCTGTCTGAAACTCGTTAACGCAGGTTTTTATCCGCGTTGACCTGGTTGGGTGGGGTAGGATACCCGTGGGTTCGGGTTTTGTTGCCATCTTTAGTGTTAATGGTTGTGAATGATGCTTTGTTTGGATTAAACAAATAGAGTTCTTAGCGCTCGTTTGGAGAATATAAGTTTAAATCTACAGATTGTCAACAATCTAAAGATTCTAACTCTTTGGATTGTTGAAAATTGAATTTAAAATGTTTATTATTTGGTAATTGTGATTGTTTTTTTTTTACAAATGATAATTATATATTGATTGAGAAAAAAAGATCATTACACCCTATGCCTTAGCCAGGCTACAAAATCAAACAAACGGCACGGTATCGGGTACAAAGAAAAGGCATTTCGCGCCATCACATGGGCTACCCTATTATTTCCTCGACCTACGAATCGAACACTAAACCCCTCCTGCTCAGCCAAATATCGTAGAACCTCCTAGAAAATGGCACCCGCCCGACAATCTTGTTCCTAGTCTTGGTTGAGTTTATCAATAACCATCTTAGCATCCCCTTCGAATCTCACCACCGACACACCCCATTGGAGGCACCACAAGATTGCATCCCAGAGAACTATAAGCTCCACGACCATAGAATCATCTATCCCAAGGAAGGAAACACCATATGCTAAAATAACCTCCCTGCCCTGATCCAAGAGTACCATCCCTTGCCGAGTGGGACCATCGTCTCACCGCCCCATCCCACCTACAGACGATAGATACAGGGTTAGCAGACAGCACACCACCACCCCCAGTACAAGCGAAACCCACCACCCTATCCTTAGGCAGATTAACCCACTCATGTAACTGCCGAAGATACAGCCTCATCAGAGCTGCAATTGTAAACTGTTTGGCTTCAAAGACAACCCAGTTGCGAGACTTCCAAATCCGCCAGAGCACCGCCACAAAAGCCATGACTTGATGCGGATCCCGAATGATGTCCATCAATTTTTTGAGGAAAAGGGGGAAAGTATGACGCGGAAGGCCTTGGCCAAGATGTTCCAACCCAGAATGATCCCACAGGGCTATAGCCACCGGACACTCTAGGAAGAGATGTTCCATAGTTTCAGACGCATCACAACACACCGAACAGCTAGGACAAAGGAATAACTTCTATGATTGACCTTGATAAAAAAATGTATTTTTATATTAAATAATGTGTTTAACCTTGATAAAAAAGTTAGAGTGGTTCGAGAAATATTAAAAACTTTGTCGATAAATATATTAATATGATAAATAAATAAAAGGAAGAGAAAAAGTAGTAGGAAAAAATCTCATGAATCAAGATACAGAATCTCTATGATTATAAGAGATTTGATATCCGTAGATTTTAGAGATTTGAAATCTCTAAAGCTAAAATCGACAATACAAAAAGCAACACAAAAACATAACTTTCTACAAAATCTATAAATTAAGGGGTCGTTTGGAAGTTGTGGTTGTTAGAGTTGTGTTTGTTGAATACATGTATTGTGCACAATACAATGTTTGGAAGTGCTAAAATGTAAAACAATGCATACATTCTTTTAGATAGGTCCCACCAACAATCACAAAAAATGATGCATTATACAATCTCAACTAAAAGTTGAGATTGTTGTGATTGTTGTTTTTAGATTTTTGTCAACTTTTTCTTTTCATTTATATCTCTAAAAGTTTTTGTCTTATACTAAAAGTTGAGGGTAAACATGACATTATCCCATAAAAGTAACTTTATGTAAATCAATGCATAAAGTAGAATCTCAACAACCAAACAATGTATTGTTAAAATGCATCAATTGTATCAATACATACATTTATATTATAGTGATTCATTACAATAGAACGATTTAACATCCACAACTTCCAAACCACCCTTCAATAAACACACACTCTAAATCTTGTTATCCAAATGGCCATTTTATTGTTGTTTACCAAAAGCTATTTTTGTCTTGCCCGGGATGCTACTGGCTGGTTGGGGGGAGATACACACGTCATTTTTGGTAAGATACAATAATGACTAATGAGAGTCCATGTGTGCCAGGAGGAGAGGTCTGTGTTGTGCTGTTAACTTGTTATTTCGATGATGCCATGTTATGTTATGTTATGCAATCATATGTGCTGTGTGCACCATCGGGTTCAGCTCTGTCGGTTCGGTTAATCAATGCGAACTCGGCAAAAAAGTAAAAACTCAAATTAGGTTGTTTCTTCATGACCGAAATCGCTCAAGTCTTATTGGTTCTCTCGGTTAATAATAATAAAAAAAAGAGTTCTAAACGAGTTCGGTTAGAATAAATTGAAAATTGAAATCACTCTACCTCCAATTAAAATTGTATCCCCTTACACCTCTTGCCTAATATTTTTAGTTTCGATTCTTATAGATTTATCGGATCAAACTAAAATCGATAAGGTAAAAACCGATTTGCGATAAAGAAACTCCAAAACTGATAATGTCCTTATCGATTCGAGTTCAATAAAAACCAAAATATCCAAACCGATATCCTGCTAGATTTGTGAATCAGGAATTGAGGAAAAGAGAAGTTGATTTCATAGAATAGAAAACGTTGAGTGTTTCTTACAGTGCAGATGTATTTGTATACATAATAAACTAGCTTTTTACCCGGCCCGTTGGCCGGTGAGTTTCATTTTATCATTTATATTAATCAATTAATCAATTTATCTATATGTTTAAACTATTTTGGATCTTCTACATTTTTTACATTTGCATTCATGCGTGAGTATGCGGTGCGTCTGTAAATTAAAATTTCTCAATGCTTAGCACGTTCACTTATGATGTTTCAATTCTCTGATCATAAATCATGTCACAAAGATATATCACGATACTCAAATGCGTGAGTATGTGGTGCGTCTACAAATTAAAACAACGATACTCAAAATTTTTTATCTTATACAATATATGTCATTCAATGAATCTCGAGTTTCGACAAACTCTCAACCAATGATGTTGCTCAGATGACGACAACTTAGTTAGAATGTTTTTATAAAGGTACTTCAATATTAGGTAAGTTTGGTCATCCCAATTGAAAGTTTACTGTCTTATTGTAAGATCATATTTGTCGATCAAGACACTCAATTTAATATCTTATACAATATGTACTAATTATTAATTCCTGAAGTTTAATTTAGACTCACCCTCAACTAATGATCGTTGTTTAGATGTTGGTTTAGAATCTCGGTCCAAGATACTCACATACTGTCGAGGGTTCTAATCTTAACATGGTCCATTGGTGTATAATTTTCTAACTTATCAAATATGCTTTTGCTTAAACTTATACTAATATCTTCATTTTGTTGGTGTAATGCCACATCTATTGTCAATATCTAAGCATGATACTATACTCTAAGTAAGAACACGCTATCTGGACCACAAATTAACCGGATTTGTGGGCATGATACTATACCCTAATCCTTGATGAGTGAACCTTATGTCCTAGTTATCTAAATCATAGAGCTTAACCCCTAAGATTGTGCATGTAATTTGTTGCATATATTTTGACGAAGCATGACCGTTGATTTTTGTTTAGAATTAAATTGATCTTAGGGTATGAGATTTATAAATTTAAGACCTAGATTTTAATCTTGAAGGGTTTGAGAATAATACCATATGCCAAACTCCAGTCAATTCAAGGTCTAGATATCATTTTCTTACTCAAAGTATGTCATAATATACATATATAAATATAAAGAGTTTAATGTAATTTTAAGTGTAATTAACACCTTTGTTTGACCGAAATATGTAAACTATTAAGAAAAATAAGGGGAAATATGAACAATTGTAAGAGAAAATAAGGTATGGAAGCATGCATTATAAGAGAGAAGAAAAGTTGTTTTTCTTTATCGCCTTCATTTGTACAATCAAGTACTATATTATGACTTCGTCAAGTTTCTATCTAAATGAAAAATAACTTTTGAAGCATTTTGCTGGTTAATACTTGTTTTCATTAATAGATACAAACATTAGAAAAAGATAGTGTTTGATAACCAAAACATAAAATTATATAGTTGGTTTTTCAAATTCAATTGATTATTAAATGTTGATTATCTAAACTTCACTGTATTAAGTTCTAATAAAAATTAAAATTAAAATTAATCGATCAGATTTAATCAAATATATTTGTTAAAAGATTACAATATATGTCACTCTCCAAACATACGTATACTGCTGCTATACATATATATTGCAAAAAACAATTATTGAATAAAAAAATATATTAAAAGAAGATATAGATAGTTACATAAATGATCATTAAAATAAAAAAAATATTAAAAGAAGATAGATATAGATACATTAATTGATCATTAACTAACTTTTTTTGTTGTAAAAAAAAGTGTACACCATGGCACCTTGTAAATTCTCCAAATGCTTATGTGGTAACAAACTACTTTTGAATTGCCATAATATTATATATAGATAGATAGATAGATGTGACCAGGTTCAGATTTAGTACCTACAAAACTACTATTTACAAAAACTACCCAAGAACAACAAAATTACATTTTTGTACCTATACTACACTATATTTAACATATCCCAGCGTTTATTTCAGCCATTAAGCTATACATTATCTACGAAGTCACTGAATCAGGTTTCTGTGCGCAC